ATATGCATTGTCATAGTTTACGTGAAACAGTATTTTATGATAAAGATTGTCGAAATATTCTGTCTAAGCGTAGTAGAAAGTTGCATTTTCAGATGTACCCTCGAAGAAGTGTCAGAACTGTAATGAGCAAAACGATATGCTTCTTAGAGCGACTGAATATTAAAAGACCGGAAAAAGTAGATTTTTGTATAGCCAATTTGCAAGGAAAAACAAAAAGAGAGAAGGTGTAACTTTCAAAAGTACACATTTTGATAAAAGTTTAAAAAAAAAAATAATCTACTGATTTCTTACTGCAAATATAATTTTTGTCAAGAAGCAAAAAAAGAAACTGTAAGATAAGTTGATTCAGAATCAACTTAAAAAATAGTCCTATGCTAATCGACTGGAAAACAGACGCTTACAAATTTTCTTCTTATAGTTCTTAGTGCCTACTGAAGAACCTATTTGATACCAAATTTGTTTTCTTTTTTTTTTTTTTTGTTCGACTAATTGAATTATATTGAATTAAAAGTTTTGTTTTTTTATGTTTTTATTCACAAAAAAATTATTACAAATTGGTGAAAAAAAAATTTTTTTTTGCTGAAAAATAAGCAGAAAAATTTTGTTGAAATTTGTTCGTAGAACAAATTCCCCCCCTCCTCCCCCCCAAAAAAAAAGCTGTTTTTTTCTTCACTTCTGTAATAATACTATATGAAACAGTACTGTCGTTGTTATTTGGCTATAAAAATTGTTATCATCAGAATCAGTTTGTTGAGTTCTCCAGAAATCTGTCATTCAATAGACAAATTTTTGTTTGAACTTTTAAAATCTGCTTATTAAAAAATTTTTATTCAAAAAATTTTGTCTGTTAGTTAGTCGATCAGTCAGTTAAACATTTTCAAATTTTTTTTCATATTATATCGTTGTAAAGTTTTTATAAAAACTAAGAACTGCTGCTGTAAAAAACAAAAAAAAATCTGTTAGCAAATAAACATATAGGCACTTTTTTTTGGTGCTGTTACTGCTATTAGCCAAAAATTGATTGTAATTTCAATTTAAAATATATCAAAATTTTAAATCTTAAAAACTTCTTTTTCAATTTAATTTTAACAAAACAAAACAAAAAGAAGGAAATTGAACGAAAAACTTAAATGAAGAAGTTAAATTGTCTGCTTTTTTTTCCCCCTTCAATTATTTAACAGAAGAAAATGCAGAAAAAAACAAAAAAAAAACTTTTTACTATTTTCCAACAAAGTTTTTTTTTCTTTTGAGATAAACATTAATAATGACTGATCAATTTTTATGTATTTTTTGTTGACTTCTTCTTTTATGCTTCTTTTTTTTTGGTATGTATTTCTCATTTTTTTTTTCATTTATTGTCGTTGTCATTCAGTTTTAAATAAACTGAATGAATGAGTAACTTTTTTGATGCCAAAAAAAAGCAGCAGCAGCAGCAGCATTTTTCGAGAATCAGTTTAACTGAATTATAAGAATTTCATTTCATTTATGTTTATCTCTTTTTTTTCTTTTTTAAAAAATATTTTTGGAATAGTTTTGCAGTTAAAATGAATTAAAATAATAAAAGAAGACGAAGAAGAAGAAATCGGAAGTCAAAAAAAAGAGTGGTGGGAAATTGAGAATCTTTTGCAAAAAAAAAAAGAAAAAAGAACATTCGTTCTTTATTGCCTTTTTTGTTTTTTTTTTT